GCCTGCTGAGGTATTTAGCTTCTTTCTTTCAATTCAAAATGTATTTTAATTATTTGTGTAAATAGTTTTTTGTATCAAGTGAAGATTTTTGTGTCTTTGAGCATATTGCTGATGTATGTCTCTGTCTTCCTTTGGTGATTAAACCTGCGTTTTGCTCTGTTTCTTCTCTCTTTCAGTCTTCCTCTGTCGTCCTCTCTCTGAGAGTGTAGGCACTCTTTACATCCCATTTGGATTCAGTCGGTTTCTCTCCTTTGCCTCCCACGTTCACACACTGTCACTCCATGTCCTCCCTCCATGTTCACGCCATCTTTTCTCACTGCATATTTCTGCTGATTGTTCCTCGAATGATTTCTACTGCAAATTCATTAATATATGCACAACCTCCACGTTGTTGCAGCTGTGATTTTTGTGTTTGATTATAAATATGACACATATACACAATTTAGTTGTTGGGACATTGAACAGAGTTGTCCTAAATGAATCAAGTCAGTATCAGTCAAATTACATTCTATATTTTTCTGCTGGTCAACAATCCCATGAGCAGAGCCAAACACATGATGAAAATAAGTGACAAAAACAACACCCTCCAATGTGTGTGTTTGAGATTTTGTCAGGGTCCCTGCTGTTATTTGATGATGTGACGGCCATTACACAGTTTGTAGACCTAGATGGATGCATATTAGGGTCAGAAGTTTTCCCATGATTTTAAAAATGTTACTTTCAGTGACTGTATTGTGTTTTTCCCCCCTGACATTCCCATCTTAAATGAAGTTAGTTTTTTTTAACAATAATAATGGATCAAATCAATCACAAATATCCTGTTTATTTTAATCTTACTGCAGTAATCTTATTTCAGTCTTATTATTTTACTGATTATTTGGTATCTTTAATTTAAAGCAAATATAAAATTGGAGCAGCCCCTCAGACAGATATTAACTGTCTTCAAATCTTCTCTGCATATAGACAGAAATCCTGCAGCAGCAGTGGGACAGTTCAGCCTGAGGGGAAGGCCACTGTGTCAGGACGTGGACAAAAGCTAAATAACTGAGATCTTGTTTGTTCTTTCTGACACCTTCGTAATACGGGTTGTAATGAACCCTAGAGCCTCTTGGACTTCATTGTCAGAATGATAAATTCTTTTAACCCACAACAGCACCAATAGAATAATTATGATGAATCCAAGGTAGTATTGATTATATGACCAGTCAATCAACCCCATGATCAGTAGGACTAATATCACTTGACTATCAATACTCTTATTAATCACAGACACACACATAAACACACTTTTGTATCATGTTCATGTTTCTCCTGTGTGTTTTATTCGCTTCACTGTTTCCTCTCTCACATTTCCCTCTTCATCCTCTTGCTGTCGGCAACGTGGTGTCTCTATGGTAACCGCCTGCAGAGAGGCGGACCCCAATAGGACACGCCCACTGCAGCATGCATCACACACATATACACACACACACACACACAAGCAGAGCAGCAGTATATTTTAGTAAATGTGACCACCGGTTTTGTCTGAGTCGTGCTGTTTCAGCATCATAAATTACAGTCGTTTACTGCAGCAGCCACTCATTACAGTGCATGTTACACGGGCTGCTTCAGCTCAGTGAAACTGGTTTGATCTCCGCTGAATAGACCCGACACCAGTGTGTCTCTCTGCATGTTTGGATCTTTCTTTATAACACATTAATACTGTGTATCTTTATTTGTTTTGTAAAATCTCTGCCTCTGGTTTTGCAAATCTGGATAAATATGTCTGTATGGCTTGCATTGTGTGTGTGTGTGTTTTAGGGCTGATTTCAGAAAAATAAGTTTTTGACAAAAACAACAAAAGATATTGTTTTTGTAACTGAGTTGAATTGTTTTTTTTTTCACACTTATTTACCAGTTTGTGCTTGTTTTCTAATTTTAAAAGTATTTAAATGTCTCTGCAAATCCTGAAGTGAACTCACTCGACTTATTGGCACCCAGTTTTTTTTTTTTTTTTTTTTTTTTTTGAAACGCCATAAGACTTTAAAATTTTGTAATTTGTTTGACAGCAACATTTGGAAAAGCCTCATGTCAGAGTTGTTGGAAAGCCTTGTTTCTCTCCTGATGGAGCTGTGCTACTTCCAGTCTCTGCGCTAAGCTAGAATAAACACATTGTGGATGCACATAAGCTGAGACATCATCTCAAGCCAGTTCAAAGGAAACTCTAATTTCTAAGATAAAACTGAGACAGAGCAGCAGCAGTTTCTGTGCAATATGTTGTGATGTGTCTGTGTGTATTCCATGTATTCAAATGTGTGGAGTGGCATCTGATTGGCTGTATCCATATATTTGATGTTTGTGTGCAGTTCTCTATGCACTCTCTATATCTTCAGTTAATCTCTAAACGCAAGTCAGTTTGTAAATAGGCAGATGAATATTTTTGCTGAATTTTTCATGTGATGCATCATAGTACAGGTTCTTCCATCCCTCCTCAATGCATTGTTTCTTAGAGACAGATCTTTGTTTGTTTGTTCCCGTTTCTGTCTGGGAGGTTGCGCATGTTCCAGGCCACGTTTATGAACAGTCTGTAGAGCTAACCGCTTTCTGTTTGTCTGTCTTTGTGTAGAAACCGTGCTGGATGACTTCATGTTGACGCATCCCATCTTCCTGACGGCCGACAGGTTCCAGCAAGTTCTGCTTCAGCAGTATCCTTGACACGCACACACACACACACACACACACACACACACACACTATGGATGCAGTGATGCCACTTTTTTTTCTCACTCAAGTATGAGTACTTACATTTGAGTACTCGTAGATACTGAGTACCGATACATGTACTTAATAATAATGTGGTTTCTACTTTAGAGACGGTTTTTATTTCATGAGATTTACTTTCTGATTGTCAGTCAGTAAAATAAAACAGGAGGCAGGGCTAATTACCTTTAAACTTTTTGTGATAGCACTGAAAAAAATATTTTGGAGGGTAGTGTATGTATGTATAGATATATATATATATATATAAAACCCATGCATATATTTTAAAACTGACTTAAGTAAATTAGCAAATAAAATATATAATAATGGTTAAATTTTAGCTACACTACGTATTTGTTAACAGTAACCACTGTAACTTAAAGAAAAACATAAAATACACTCAAAAACTGCTGGAAATGTGTCCGTAGGTTCTGGGGAGCGGTCAGGCTGGTTGTCCGTACCCACTGAACCAAATGTAACTACTGGTTGTGACCAAGTAGCGTTTGATTTTCTGTTAATGTCAGAAGAAGTTTTGAATTCACCTCATTGTGTGCTCTGAACCGTGCGTCTCTACTTTCTGAATTAGACATAGCATAAACATTTTTCATCTTCCAAATAGATAAACTGGGCCGAAAATATTGTAGCGTGTTGGGGTTGGGGTCGTCTGGTGAGGTTTCCCAGCATGGCCTGATGGTTAGAGACTGTGCTGTTCCAGAGGTACTGTTTGAGTTCACATGGATCTGTTGCATGCCTGTTAGTACTGTATGTGTGTTATAGCAAGTGCCTGTTATGGAGTTCACCCTGTCCAGTGTTGCTTAGCCTTGTGTAGCTGTGTGCCTGTCACCCAGAGTGTGGTTGCCCTTGCCTTCGCTACAGTGTGTAGCGAAGTGGGATTTTTATATTGTTAGTTTGTTTTTATTAGAATAGTGAGTTGCATCAGTAGATGGGGATTCTAGGTCCAGGTCATTTCAGAAATAACAGATGAAAAGCTCTGTCTGTACAGATAAATATGTTTTGAGCAGCTGACTCTATTACAGTTTGTTGACGGTGAGTTGGGAAAAATGCAAATAAATCTGTGTTTTCTTTTCTCTGCTGCGACAGAGTGATAGTCAGCCACTGTTAATAGTCACCCACACAGAGAGTGAGATAAAGAGCAGAGAGCTCGGGGGAGGAGAAGGAGGGATGAGAGGAAGTAGAGCAGAGGGGGATGTGGGTGGAAGACAAGTGGGAGGGATGGATGGTGAGAAATACACGTTTTCATCTTCCTCTGCTGGTTTTGCTTCTCAGAGAAAAAGCTAAATACAGAGATCAACTACGGTCTTTTTTTTTAAAGAAGCAGATAAATATCATGACCATGACTCGTTCAGTCTCGTATTCACTGATCCTCCTAAGATGTTTTCACAGATTTTTTTTTAATGAAACTCCTTCATGTAATGATAGTATTGCAGACTTTATGTTTCAAATATTGATCTTCAATAACACCACCAGTGGAAGTTCATAGTATAGGTGACATAGGCAGTTGCTGAATGTGGGGTACTCCCTTCATAATCCTCCTTCTAATACTGTCAGTTATAAACACACAGACATCATACATGTACTGCCTGGTTAGCTTTGATCTCCTCACAGGAAAACATTCATACGTGAGCTCCGAAATTGTATCAGGAATAGTAAATGGAGAACCCAGATGCAGACCGGACTGACTGAATTTGCAGTTTAGGTCAGGATTTAGTGATTCTTCAAATGACATGTAATCAGAGGAGTAACTATACAGGAGCCTGAATGAGTGAACTGGTAGCACAGAAATACAGGAACCAACTGGTTTCACAAAGATGACATAACAACACTGAACAGGTAATAACTTCACAAGCAGTCGGCAAAATAAACAGGAACCCTCGGGTAGGTACTTTCTTAGTGACACGCAAATTTGAAGGTGATTGTCAGGTAATGCACTATCTCACAGGAACATACTGGTTCCAGGTAGGAGTCTACTGAGGTAGCTCTCTGCAGAAACACGGTAGCAGCTTTGGCACTTAGACGTACATTTTCCTTGTTTGTACACACAGAGGATTGGAGGTAAGTATATCACTCATAATGATACTCATGAGGTTCAGTTTTACAATGAACACTGCATGATGACAGGTCTGGAAAGAGAACAGAGGCGTGTCCAGGGCTAAAACAATTCAGAACCCGATTTGTAACGATAGGGCAAACAGAGTTGACAGAGACCGGACAAATAACCAAGTCAGTGAGGCAAACAGTTCGTGCACAGAGTATCCAAACAGGGAGCAAGCAGAACTGGTGTCCAGGACAGGAGCGGGTCTGGAACAGGTCAGGGAAAGGAAAAGCAGAGTTGCAACAGGACAGATGAATTGGCCTTGAAGTGCAGCCACTGTAACGAGTTCAGGCAATATGGCAAGGACTGAATGCTGGGAACAGGCTTAAATACCGGTTTATACCATTATACTGATGGGAAACAGGTGTGTGTAGTCAGGGCTGGCTGGGGCAGGTAAAGGTGGCACCGAGGGCAGATAGGGAAGTTGTTCCAAAATAAGAGCCTGAATCAGGAAGCACAGGGAAATCATGACAGATTATAGTGGGGAGGAAAAGAAGCTCCTTATAACTCCTGAGTTTGTTGGAGAATCATCATGATTTTAAGTTTTCTTCAGTATCAAAGTAAAGCAGTGATAGTAATCTGTACTTCAGGGATGTTTTAAAAACAAACTGATAATTTGGCATTTTGGCATTTGCAGAATACCAAAATGTAAACAAATATAGTATGAAAAACGATCATAACACTAGTTTCAAATTAAGCTACTGTTGAACTAATTTCAACTCTAAGCATTAAATGTCCTGCTTACATCCTCAGGACTGTAGTTTCTAAACCTGAAAAACAAGGGCAGTATTAAACCAGTGCATATTAACCTTTTTGTTTGTGCCATCTTTTTATTTTTTACCATTGCTAAGATTCAAAATGTGTCATGAACAGAGTTTGAAAGGAATTAAGTAAATGTACTCACTGTCCTTAATATAAGTACAGTTTTAAGGTATCTCTACTTGAGTATTTTCATTTTCTAGTACTTTGTACTTCAGCCTCACTACATTTTAGAGAAAAATATTGAACTTTTTACTCACTAAATTTCAGAATGATATGAATTAAACAAAACACAGTAAGACTTTATTGATCCCTGGTGGGGAATTCACAAGCTACCCAGCAGTATGTGAAGTACGTAAGTATATAAGGTAGTTCACGTTAGTTCCACCTTTACCAGCTGCGACATTAAATATGATGTACACAATAATAATCAATAATTATAGTCCAATAATATGGTGTACATTCATGTGTAATGTACTATTCTGCAGAATGAGTACTTTTACTGTTAGTACTTTTGAGTAGTTTTGATACTAATATGTTTAGTTAAGTAACATTTTCAATGCAGGACTCTTACTTGTAACAGAGTATTTTCATGCTGTGGTATTGCTATTTTTAATTAAGTAAGCAATCTGAGTACTTTGTCCACCACCGGTCATCCACATGGTTCTTATGTTCCTAGAAGACTCTCCTCTCAGTTCATTTATACATCAATTAATATCAAGTGATATATGGGTCATTATGGCGCCATCTCTGACTCTGGTTACAGCGTCTCATTAGAGCTGCTGCTCCCTGCGTCTGAAACAGCCAACTCAAAGCTGGTTAAAGGTGAATTTATAAATAGTTTTTAAAATTGAATTTATGTAGATAAATTAGATATTAGTGATTTGATTAAAAGACTTGATTTGTTAAAGACGGGACAGTGACAGAGTTTAAGGACAGAATTCTTTCTGCATGTGGCACAGATTGTAAAGTCCTTTGAGGCAAATTGTTGTGCTGTGTGAATGAAATGGAATCAAATTAGGATATTCAGGCCAGGATTAAATGCTCAAAAGCAGATATTAAAGAGAGAAGAAAGAAAATGCAATAGCAATAATATAAGTCACTAGCTCTCTCAAAACTCGTTATGTAGTGTTTTTTGTTTTATTTTACAGTTTCAATCGTCTTAATTTGAACATTTAAATTTAAGGTTTTCTGTCTTCCACTTGCTTTACACTTTGAAACCACTGTTTAATAATACCCATTTGTTAGGACCGTATTTAATTATCGTTTTCCTTTTTTATGTTCACATTTAGTTGTGACCTAATTATCCAGAGCACTAAAGTAATTATTTATTTATCCTTTTTTTAACTAGGTGAAGCCTCATTGAGATTGACATCTCTTTTTCAAGAGTAATAATATGTTTTAAAGTTTCCCATTTCATTTTAATCGTGGATAAACCGACCCTCTGTATCCCTGTGTCAGCAGAGCAGTGTTTAAAGCAAAGACAAAGATAATCTGCTGATGTGACAAACACTAAGACACAGTCTGCTGTTTGAACTCCAGTTTCCTCCTTGACTCAAACCTTCCCAGATTCTCTCTGAAGACGGAGGGGAAGGAGGCGGAGGGGGAGGCAGAGGGGGAGAGGAAAGAGGGGGCAGGAGGCGAGAGGGATGGAGAGAGAGGGGAGATGTTGGATGGAGCAGAGAGGAAGCAGGCGGTGCTGAACGTGGCGTTTCGGTACCTGGACACCTACAGAGAGCAGCTGCAGGAGGAGGGAGAGCGCAGCAACAGCTTCCCCAAGGTAACACACACACACACACACACACACCATAACACACTCATACATTAATACATAATATAGAAAATACAACACACTGAACTTGACATACATTAAATACAGAAACTCACTCAATGCAACACACACATAACACATACATACAGCATTCACAACCTAACAAATAATCCACAATTCATTCACGTAAAGCACAACACACTGAACTTGACATACATTAAACACAGAAACTCACTCAATGTAACACGCACATAAACCCACAACCCGCCCACACAACCTAACCTTAACATCCCGCTAGCTGTTTTGTATGTTTTAAAAGTAAATTTAAAGCCTGTTGTTTATAGCATCTGGAAACCCATTTCTACCAGGAAGATTAAAAAATGGGTCAAAGGTCATGATGAATCAAGGAGTACAAAGTTATGAGATTGTCAAAATTCTGATTTACTTAAATAATGAGATCATGAGTTAGAGGTTTGAGTTAGTGTGGCATAATTTTTGACTTTTCTAGTTTTGCTTTTATTACCTAGTACTAGTATTAATAGTAGTAGTTTTAGTATTAATAGCTCAGGAGGTAGAATGGATCATCTCCTAACCGAAAGATTTCTGGCTTCTCCAGTCCACATGTCAAAGTGTCCTTGAGCAAGACACTGAACCCCAGGTTGCTCCCACTGATGACACCAGTGTGTGAATATGTGAGCTTGGGAGTGTGAATTGGTGAATACTGTGAAACCGCTTTGAGTGTGCTGCAATGCATAGAAAGTTTTAGTCTGATTCACCACTGAGTTCCTGACACCGAGTAGCCTGATAACTCACTCCACACATGTTATTACAGTCTGTGTGTTTCAGTTACAAAGCAGATCCTGACAGACAGGAACCTGAGTGGAAAAGGTCACGGTCTGATGAGAGAAACGAGACAGAGAGCGAAAGAAAACCAGCAGGACTTCCCTTTAACTGTCTCCACAGTTTTGTTAGATGCGCACAATAATAACACTTAATAATACAAACATTGGGTAGCACCTGTGCAGGGTGGGTACTGTTGTTTTTGGCATCTGGTTGATCTGTGCTGTCATATCATGCGCGTGCGTGTGTGTGTGTGTGTGTGTGTGTGTAGGAGCTGTACCTGTGTGCAGTTCAGGAGCTGAGTCGGTATCCTGAGCTGGTGGAGGACGTCCTTAAACTGCAGAGATGGACTGAGATCTTGCACTGCCCGTGAGACAAACACACACAGAGTAGTACACAGGGAAAACACACAGATAACACACACACACACACAGCCTTGTTGCTCATTTATTTCTGTTGGTCACTTTAAGTCAAACCTGTCACAAATGTTTCACATGAAATATACGTATAATACAGTTTATTTATCACGTTATTGTGTATGTATTATTATGAAAAATGCTATATATCATTCTTTAAAATGTTTATAGTTGCTTTACTACTGAATAACAGTAATGAATTCAAAGCTAATAGCTAACATTTAAACTACTCCTAGTGATAATAATTATTATTGTAGGACCACTGCAGGGTGTGAAACAACCAGTAAATCAGTTTGTGTGTGTTTGCAGGTCGGATGAGGAGAAGGAGAGCAGGAAGAAGCAGGTTCGTCCTCTGTTCAGACACTTCAGACGCATCGACGCCTGTCTGCAGCCCAGAGAGGCCTTCAGAGGCTCCGACGAGAGTATGACACAAACAGAAACACACCGGCACAGACACAAATATAAAATCCCCTACTACACTGTGTAATCATACTGGCAGTCGACATGCAAACACACCTGTGGTCTGTGGTTAGGATATATACAAATCACAAACTGACTGACACACCCAGGACACACACACATGCACTTTTCATCTTTTAAATAGCATCAGAAGACAAAGAAGGGTTTGAGCTAGCTTTGAACAGTGACTTAAAGCAGGGGAAACTGCTAGTACCAATCCAGTGAAAGAGAAAAAACACCTTCCAAGAATTCCAGATCTGACTGATTTACAGGAGGTGTTTCTTAGGCAGCGGCAGAGTTCTTGTTCAACAGCAGCTCGGCTCAACTCTGATGATTCCACTTCAACAGATATCAGTAAATGCAGAGTCCCTGAAGTCCACAGAGGTAGTGATGTTAAACTGCAATAAAATGATGAAGCATCCGGTCACCTACAGACAAACTAATGTGGCAGCAACAAATATTAGATTTAATCTCTGAGGCCAAATTTTATCTTCCATTTTTAATTATTCTCTTATTCAGTAATCAAATAATTTATCAAGCGCAACAGAGTCTTTGGAGCTGTAAAGGGTTGCAGGGCTAAAACTGCTCTCATCAGGCTGATGACCATGAACAGTGACTGAAAACTCAGCTCAACCTATATAAGTTCGTTTTCCATTTCTCACCTGAAAAACTATCACAACTTAAAGGTGCAGTGCAACTAAAGGGCCAAAATAGCTGCCTCTGTTAAAATCTTTTTAAAAAGTGCAAAATTCTATTTGAAAATATTTCTGATTTTACCACAAACCATCGTCTGTTTGTCTGTGTCTGTCTCCAGTCTTCTGCAGGGTCTACACTCCAGATCATTCGTACGTCACCATCAGGAGCCGTCTGTCCTGCCGGGTCGGGGAGATTCTGGCTCTGGTCAGAGAGAAACTACAGTACAGTGAAGATCAGCCAGTTCTACCTGGAAACCTCATACTGGTAGCTGTGACATCAGCTGGAGGTCAGGAGACACACCAGCATAAACATGATGTTGCTTTCAGTCTTTGCGGTCTTGTTCTCTTGGTTCTTTTTGATTCATTTAATGGTTTCATTTCAAATTTGTGATTTGAAAGACTGAAATTTTTAATAAGCTGCAAGAAATGTTCATAGCAACAGAATTAAAGGATAGGACTGGCCATATTCTATATTTATTTTCTTGTCAATTAATCACATTTAAAGCCCAGTTAGTCCGTCACTGGAAACCAGATAAATTGATGATTATTCTTTTCTCGAACTCGTCTGGTATATAAAACAATGTAAACCACAAATATAGGAGTTTCTGCTTCTGTTGTAATGTGTTGCTGATACAAATGCAATACTTCCTCCATGTTTACCTCTTGTTTTGCTAATTTTATAAAACGTCCGTTTATACATTATTAACTCAACACATGCATGTATATCTAAATGTTTGTTGTGTCCAGAGAAGGCAGTGTTTCGTCCCAGCGATGAGGCCGTGTTCACCACACTGGGAGTCAACACTCACTTGTTCGCCTGTGAACCCTCCGAACTGGACTCACTTGTGAGGACCTGATTGGTTGATTAATTAATTGGTTATTTGACTGTGGAGCAGATGGGTCCAGCAAAATAACTTATTTAGCTTCTATGTTTATTACATTTTAAATGGTATCAAGTATTGATAGCAAAATCATTTAAACTTCAGTTTTTTTTTCTGCTTTGTAGGTTGAATGATGTAATTGGATTGAATGGATGATTGATAGATGGAACTGATTTAAAGAAAGGAATGTATCCCCATGAAAAGGAGATGTTTGAAATTAAAAAATGCTCCACTAACAGGTTGTCTGAATATTTGGTAAAAGCAAACTGTGTGTTATAATCTGATGATGCCTTTATCTGAACCCTCAAGCTTCCTCTTCCTGAGGAGATCCACTGGACGCCAGGCGACAGCAAACTCCACGACATGTCAGCAGAGGAGGTGGCCAATCAGCTGGTGGTGTTTGACTGGGAGCTGTTCAGCTGCGTGCATGAGGTTAGTCAGCAACGTGCTATAGTTCTGTACATTATCTAGTCACTGTATGTTACTCTGTGTATGACCCTGTTACGCACAGTGGCTCTGTGCATTACTCCACAACTCCATAAGTTATTCTGTGACTCCTAAAGGTGCAACATGGCCTCTGTACATTCCTCCTTTTTGGCCATGCAACGTTTGACATCTATCTCTAAAAAGTGTTTTATCCTCATTTGATAAACTTAAACTTTTGCCCAGTAATTGCAGGACCATATTATTTAGTATTTTTTAGCAAAAAAGTAAAGAGAAGTAAAATTTCAGCTTGAAATATTTCTTCAAGAAGTGTTGTTTTATGACTACAGGTCGGTAGTGGTCAAAGCAAAATGAATGAAAATAATATAAATGCCTGGTTCTTTTTGCACTTGAGGAAAATAAAGGCCATGCCAACTACAACTACTGTGGTTGAGTCTAAATGATGTAAATATTTACTAAAAACAGCCTGTTGCTGCTTATAAAAGTCAGCGTTTCCAGCTTTGTTCTTCGTCTGTCTCCTGCAGGTAGAGTTTGTGTGTTATGTGTTTCATGGAGAGCAGTCGCGCTGGCGTCCCCTCAACCTGGAGCTGGTGCTGCAGCGCTGCAGCGAGGTGCAACACTGGGTCGCCACAGAGATCCTGCAGTGTCAGTCGCTGCCAAAGAGGATCCAGCTGCTCCGCAAGTTTATCAAGATCGCAGCTCTGTGAGTCTCGAATGTAATTTATACATCACAACAATGATTTACAGAATCTCACATCGTTAAATCAGAAACACCTTGTGTTTGACACAAGTGTTTCAGAGGTTTGGGGAAGAAGGGTTATTTTCTGCCATGAAGGAACACTTGAACCCTTTGTTTAGCTTTTTGAAAAATGTTGCATTACCAAATTATGGAGAGCCATGGCTTTTTACTGTAACTCCGCACACTAGGGGTTGCACAGATTAGTCGACTAGTTGACTTCACCACGCACAGTCGACCTTTTCAACATGACATCGACTGGTTGCTCACAATGCGATTATCACTATCAACAGCCTTACTTCACATAGCAAAGGCTGTAATCAGACTTTCACCACTTAGCAGTGGCAACCTGCGCCTTGAAGAATTGACTGGAAAAGCTGGGTGTTATGTCAGTAAACTCCAAACCGTTTGTAATCCGCTGCTGTCATGCTTACGCAACTGTAAGTTGAGCAATCTGTCTTTGCTGACGAAACTGTCACCAAACGCAGTGTTCAAAGTCATTACCCATGAGAGTGGGAGCACAGTGGGAGCTGGCGGAACAGTAGCCCTGTCATCATCTCAGACTCATCTCCCAGAAACAGTTGTGACACAGCTGTGTGCTGCCCCTTAACAGATGCAGACAAACAAACTGAACACACATATTCAAAACCATCCACTTAGTCCCCACCCTTAAAGTCTTTCCTCATTCCTCGTAGTCAACGATGTTTGAAAACACTTACCATGAAGCTTACCATGGTGTCTTTTTCTCATTCTGGTATACCAAGCAGCAGTTTGCTCACTGCTGCCAACTGGTGGTGGTGATGGGGTGGGGTACCCAGCGACAGAACTCATAGCGTGACACAGGGCTATTGTTTTTAATGATGTCATAAGCAACTAGTCGACATCGGCCCAACTTTCATAACAGAAATATCAACTATAAGGAAAAAAAAAGGGAAGCCATGCAACCTCAACTGCACACTGCCAGCAAAAATGTCCTAGTGGTGATTTTTTACTGATTTACTTGTCCAAAAGTAGTCAAAACTGAATATACTAAGAAAAGAAATACTGAAATAAACCTCTGAAATATCTACTATAGTAGAATGTGTCCTTCCAGGTTCCTAAACTCCAAATTGCTAGAAAGATTACAGGATGTATCACCTTAGTGATGTAGCTACAGCCCTTATTGTGGCTCTGTCAGTAGATGTCCTGTCATGTCTGAATAAACCCATCAGGAACATCCAGGTAAAAGTCTGAATGACAAAAAAGCTTTGTGGTATTAGAGAGATTAGGCCAGAAATGTATGAACCAGTGCTCTGTTCCTTGTGTTTCAGCTGTAAGCAGCAGCAGGACCTGCTGTCGTTCCTCGCTGTGGTTCTGGGTCTGGACAACCCTGCTGTGAGCAGACTACGACTCACCTGGGAGGTACAACACACACCTGTCGCTTGCTTTCGTACAGCTTCAGCACATTTAAATCTCCAGTGAGGGGAAAAACACCTACAGTTTTGGCTGCAGCGTTTATTACAGCCACAGATGACAGATTTAGTAACAGTAGGGGGTGGCACCAGAGGAAGGATCAGGTTGAAATGTTTTTGTTGCTTCTTCAGTTTATTTAAAAGCACACACTGTGGCTTTGGCCCATTTTCACTAGGAAAAAAGAAAAGACTAAAGTTGAAATTGTGCAATGGTAAAGGTGGCATTTGACATTTTAGTATGTCAAAATGATTATTTATTATTGTGTAATTTCAATAAGAGATTCCGCTAACAGTTATCTTTATAACCACTTGGTTTGCTTATTATTTTCTGGATTAAACGACTAATCATTTATAATTCAAAGCAACACAGATTGGAGCCGGACAGGCACAGAAAGTTCACTAAGTCCTCGCTGCTGCTGCTCATAAAGCTGAACTGCTGTGGAGGTAGAATAATAACTAATATTTGACAGTGACTCAGATGAATGTGTCTACATGTTTATGAACTTCAGTCCTCTCTCACTTAGATTTTAGCCGTTACACAGTCAGAGCACTCTAGTTACAGAGATTTTAGTTTGGACAAACTCCCAAAGTAGGGCAACAAGAATAGGGTTGTGAAGTGATGACCTGATTTCCAATAGTGGAAGACATTTCCAGATCAGATCCCGAGCACTGACAGCAATTTATTATTATATTTTTATCTTCATTTTTTAAAAACTGTATGTAGTTTGTATTATAATGATCACTACTCTATGTGTGTATGTGTTCAGGGTCTTCCAGGGAAGTTCAGGAAGCAGTTTCAGCAGTTTGAGAGCATCGCGGTGAGTAAAAGTTGTGCTGTTTTATGGCAGCCTTCAGATCTGATGTGGTTTATCACTGAGGTGAAAATTTGATTGAACTGATTGCAATTACAAGACTTATCTTATTAACCTACGAACTCAGACAGATCACAGAATTTAATAGTGCTCTGTAGAGGTGTGACGAGATCTCGTGCCAGAAGATCTCAGGATACTAAAACGTGACGATATTTCTCGTCGAAGTAAAAGCTTGCATAACATAACAGAACCAGGCCAATACGATGAAGTGTGACCATAGGTTCACATTAGTCCGGCAAAAATGCAACTCCCTGCTGTGTTTTAATGCACGGGGCTGTGTCAGTCAGGGGGGTGAGGGGACGTGCGGGTAGTGTTGTAGGTGTGTACAATATGGCCATGTTGTGACGAGTCGACGTGAGTTGCTTCATTCATGTTTCCAGACCCAGAGTTTTCATTGTGTTTTAGTCAGCCATGCTGCTAACGTAGCCTACTCTACCTTAGCACCAATTCTACCACCAGTGTTTTGGCACTGACAGATAAAACACAGTTTAACATCCAGTACTAATGAAAATGCATGGCATTGGTTATGGTACGTTAACTGTGCCCCAGATTCAACAGTGAATAGCAGTGAATGCTCATGCTAACAAGGTAAACAAAAGTCTTCTTCCCGTGGGCGTACACGTCCCCATCATTCCCCCATACGTGATTGGTGAATGCAGCGCCTTTGCCGGCTGATGTCACTGTCTGATGTGGTGAAAGGTGAACCAGACCCAACTTTTTTGGTGTATCGTCACACACCCCTAGTGCTCTGGTGTTAGTCTGTATGACTGTCTCATCATATGTTTGTGTGTTCCAGGACCCCTCCAGGAACCATAAGTCCTACAGAGACCTGATCACCAGCCTGAGACCTCCACTGATCCCCTTCACACCTCTACTGCTCAAAGGTATAAAATGTGCAAGTCTAATAAATGGAAAGCATCACTGGCATGGCTCACATCCGTTTACATATAGTAGACAATGTAAAGAAAACCACTTGGAGCAGCTGTACGGCAATAATAAGAAGGCACCACTTGCAAGAGTGTCACATTATTTGTTAAAAGAATCACTGTAAATAACATAAAGCACTGCTGGTGAGCAGTGCCTTACCAACAGTATGCTACTGTATGTCTCTCCTGTTATTAAATGCCAACACTTATATAATCTCCGTCCATCAGTGCCTCTTCTGACAAGACAGAGCAGCTACAGTGAGGCTTTAGATGTAGGTTTGGATGTGGGATAGGAGAAAGCATGTGACTGGGTAAGAGACACCATTTCCATGTCACTGTACTAGGACCACCTTTCTTTGGTCTTATTTCAGCGTTGACACTTACTGCTGCCAAAGCTCACACATGTGAGCTGAAGTTCTCCAGAGAACTGTTTCTCACTGCTAGTGCTGGTGTTGTTGGGGAGACAGCAGAGGAAGCACAGAGATCATTTTTTCACATTGTGCAAAAAGCCAATGTGACTCATCACCAGGCCCCAGTTGAATTGGACTTTGAGATTCACACAAATATAATGCACAATATTGCATTTGTGTGCTCTTTACTAAGAAGCTATTTGTCCTCTTTTCAGTAGTTGGTGGTAGTTAAAGAAATAACCCTAGCTCTAAGCTCTTATGTGCAGGCTGAGGTATAACACAGAATAAAGGGTAATGCACACACCATGTAAATATCTTGTGTAGTAATCAGGTTGGACTCTGGGAACTAAACATCTCATCCATCCATCCATCCATCCATTTTCTTCCGCTTATCCGAGACCGGGTCGCGGGGGCAGCAGTCTAAGCAGAGATGCCCAGACCTCCCTTTCTCCAGACACTTCCTCCAACTCCTCCGGGGGAATGCTGAGGCGTTCCCAGGTCAGCCAAGAGACACAGTCCTTCCAGCGTGTCCTGGGTGTTCCCCGGGGCCGCCTCCCGGTGGGACATGCCCAGAACACCTCCCTAGGAAGTTGCCCAGGAGGCATCCGAAACAGATGCCCGAGCCACCTCAGCTGGCTCCTCTCAATGTGGAGGAGCAGCGGTTCTACTCTGAGCCCCTCCCGGGTGACAGAGCTCCTCACCCTATCTCTAAGGGTGCGCCCGGCCACCCTGCGGAGGAAGCTCATTTCGGCTGCCTGTTTCCG